ACTTGTGGTTGATTCTATGTGATGCTCAGACATGTCAGCATCAAAGAGGAAACCCAGCCCAGGGTTATAGTAGAAGGTAAGCCTTGAATATGTTTTCTGTGAACCCACAAGCAGAGCTGGTCCAATCAGAGGGGATGTAGACAGCTTTGGGGTCCACAGAATGCAATGTTGGCATAATTCGGGGAGGCCCAGGACCAGGTCAGCAAGAATAATGCAAAATATATGGGATAGCTTCCAGTGGCCATTGCATATACCCCAATGTGAAAACAAAATTGGGGCATTCACCCTATTAGAGGGACAGAAAGAGAAGAGGAGCGGTCAACAATGCACCCTGAAGCTGAGAAGCTGAGAAGCTGCGAAGCTGCCTTCAGACAAACGCACAGACTTCTGGGACTGGGGCGATGGGGTCAACCCTGTCCTCAGTGGGGCAGAGGACATGCTCAGCAAATGGAGCACAGCACAATACCTCTTGCCACTGCAGAAAGAATCATAGAATCGGGGACACAAGTTGGGGGTGGCCCACTCCCTCTCCTTTACCTCATCTTGGAAAGGGCACGAGGAGGAGGAATTTTTTTGTTCAACTTCTAAAAGCTGAGTCAGCCAACAGTGTAGGAATTGTCCTAGATGCAAAATATTTGTTTCCCATGGAAAATAACATAAACCTTATTGGAATTATTGGCACTTATACCACACCGCAAATATGGACTGTTTTTTTCCTAAATATTTCAATGGTAAAATCAAAGTTTTATTGTGGAGCTGGGTGTGATACTATGGTTATATTTTACCTATAATGAAGTACTATCATTTAAATCTCTGCCTGCTAGAATCAGTTCTAGGAATGGAATTCAACTGTGCCATGTGATTTACCACCCACTTATTTCAATTAAAATAAAAATAGATACATTTATTTTTCATTGGTCAGTGCATAAATGACTTTACTACTGTCTGGAGTAAGTTGTACATTTGTTCCTGGAGTTGGGGTCCAAGGAACAGTGATGAGAGAAATAAATCCGCAACATGGAAGTCAGTGAGCGTACAATGTCGTGTGCACTTATATTTATCGTAATACAAGTCAGCGCTGTAATCAAGTGGGATCTATCCAAATGTCAAGTGGATTTTGGTGCCTATCCCAGCTGGGAAAGTCAAAATGCTGACAGTTTAGCATCAGCATCATTCTTCCACAATAAAAAAAAAAAATTACTGTATATAGTAAGACAGATAATGTGTTAGGCAAGTAAAGATAATGGAGATAAAACAGGTTAAACAGAATGAAAATTCAGCAATTTTGGAGTAAGTTGTCTTTGAAATTAGAATACCTTATGTGTTAAAAATATAACCTGACATTTTTATAACTTTGCAATTACAGCCTTAAATAAGCTAAAAGGCATAGTCATTTTCCTTAAATCTTAATTATTTGCCTAATAAAAATGTAACAGATGAATAATAATACCAGATCTGAAAAGAAATATTTAGCAAGGACATTCAAACTGAAAAAGAATCTCAAATCCTTGCAGCACTTTTTAATAGCATGTGTTGAAGCGTGCCGGATGGTAGTATTAGAAGTCATTGTCACAGGCAGGATAGGATTGCAAAGATGCCCTGTACGTCCTTGGGGGTAGAGAAGAACAACAGCAGATGCTCCCAGAGGAAGCCAGGAATGTCCGTGAGTGGGGATCAAGTCAGCAAGGGGAGCTTAGTGCAGAAATAGAAGGGATAAGCCGGCTTGCTTCCAAGGTCTGAATGGGACTCCAGTGAGGCCTAGGAGACAGCACCACCTCCTGTTGGCAGAAAACAATGCAAGATTTCCAATCCCAGTCATAGGCTTATTGGACCACAAGGGAAAGAGCTCACGAGTAAAAAGCCCAAGTGCCTTTTCCATGAAATTATTTTTTCCCTAGAAGGACTTTGAAACCTCCTTTATTTCATTTTATGCAGCCAAAATTCTCAGTCTAACTAAATAGCCAGTTTCTGAGATCATACTACCAAATGTATGCATAAATTATAACATCATGATGTACTACACTGATTATATGGAAACTGTAATTTTTAAATGACAATTTATTGCTAAGGGTGATTGGTATTAGAATCCAAGTCACCATAAGAATTGCTCTGGAGAGTTTACAGGTGAGAAGTAGGTACATGGACTTCCCAGGCTGGGGTTGCTAGTTTTCTCCAATGCTAATCAGTGAGTCCATCTTCACACTGTAAGTCCAGTGCACTCACTCCCTGGGTTCCAGCACAGCATGGCACAGGGAGCAGGAAGAAAGGGGAGTGCCTTCTTAACTGTCACTCACCCTACCTGATGTAATTAATCACCTATGCTCACAGCAGAGCACAAAACCAGGCTCCAGAAAATGTAACCTAACCATTTAATAACAAAGAATCTGGTGCAACAGCTTCCCTCTCATTCTGTGCTGCAAGGCTACCTCCTCCAGCCTCTCTAAAGATGGTTATGTGAGTTGCCTTGGAAAATATATCTATATTAAAACATTAAAACTGAAAACTATGTAGATATAATAGGTTGTCACATATTTCAAAAAGATAAAATTTAATTTCTGATATTTTTGACAAGTAAACAGTTTTCCAAATTAGGTCCTGTTCAAATGTTCACTATGAATCATGTCTCCTGGTAAAACCAGGTAATACCCTGTTTTAAAATACATGGATTTGGCCTATGACGTCACAGGTACCAAGAGAAATTCCATAGATGAGATCAAAAGTGTCTGAAAGAAGGAAGGACACATAACAACAGCAGGAAACAATGGATGGATCCTACAGTACCTGCCTAACTCATCCTGCAGCAAAAGCAGCCCTAGAAATATGGCTAAGTGTTACCATTAATAAGTGCACCTTCCCCTGGGCAGGGCACGTCATCCTATGAAACTGCAGCTTACCAGCTCACACTGTGGTGGATTGAAGAATGACCACTTATAAACAGAAAATAGTCAGTAAACTCAAGTTCTGCTTAGAGTTGCAGACTCTCAATCAATGGGATGGCTGATCTTCAAAACAGAACTTCATGAACTGACCTAACTTAGAAAAGTGTGTGAGACACCAAACCCAACCCAGTTGCCCTGACTCAAGCAGCCATTATAAAGAATAGGTTAAACTTTTGACTTCAGACAAAAAATTAAAAGTAGTAATACAATAGATTCAGTACCATCTTTCTTCTATAATTATTTTTTCTAAGTAGATGCACTAGGTTCTTTTAACTTAAATGATCGCATAGCTGGGAATTGCAAGCTCTATAATGTTATGCATAGTAATTGTTAAGAAACTGAGGAGTTTTTTGATGACTATGCTCCAGTGATTAACAAGGAAACACCACCCACCAAAGGTTCAAATGCTGCAACATGAAGACAGTTGACACAATGTTGGGATGCTGAGATTGTGTAAATGTCAAACTTGGCAGATTTACTTTGAATAAGAACTCAAGCCTCACTCATTAAGACTTAGCACCGCACCACAGTAAATCTCAGGTATGTTCTGCATATTACTGAAGTGCATGGCCTCAATGGTGGCAAAAGTTTCCTTTAAGGATAGTTCTGATGGGACAGTTCACATCATCAAGGCTGCTGTTATGCATGAGGCACTGAGCATGTCTTGTGCTGGTTAGCAACTTAGCAAGGGATATGGAGTTCAATGAGCCTATTTGAAGGCTTCCAGGTAACACATGTGCTTAAAACTGAAGTCTGCCAAAACTCACGGGTAGGTTCAAAGTAGAATAAACCACTTCAATTTTCCTCTAATTATAGGAGTTACTAACAAGACTTGTTGCAATAATACTTCCCCAAATGCACCGTGGAAGGACACCCTATTAAAGTCCTGAGAATAATATGATAGAAAGTTAGCGACTCACGAGCTTCTGTACTTGCTTTCTACTATTTCTGGATAATCCAAGTGTATTTTCTAAGGTTTGAGTCTGCTGTAGTTGGGTAACTATTCATATTACAAAGTATTAAAGAAAAAACAAACAAGACAACAAAACCCCATCATATTCCACCAAAAACATTAAAGATGTCGAGGGAATCGCTAGAATGGTACAACTTGCAAAGCAGATAGATACATTGGTCTCAACACATTAAACATACCACTGTGCAGTACCTATTTCAGAAGACTGGACACCTGCAGCCACTCCAGTCTGCAGTTTCAGACCTTTGTTACCCTAAAAGGACCTTCATCTCTTGTAATGCTGAGGGCTTGGGCTCTTGAGCAAAGTTAAAGAGGAGGTGTGACTGCACCCCAGGACACAGGCACACAGCTTCCTAAGGCCGTGATAAACAGCTGCTGTCTTGCACCCTTTCCAGAACACTCGGTTGTGTCGTGTGGGTGGCAACTTGAAGGTTTCCAAGAACTTTCCGTTTTTGTTTAAGCCAACAATTCTGGGTTTTGTCAATCAATAGTTTTTTGTTGTTGGTTTTTTTGTTTGTTTGTTTTGTTTTTTGTTTTTATAAGGATGGGGTGGTGGTGATAGGAGCTAAAATAGACTCTAAAAAGTTGGGCCATCAGCGTCCCCTTGGTTTCTGGAGGTCCTGAGCTGGTGGCCCAAGGGATAGGCAGAGGCAGTTGGCACCACACCCCATCAGGGGGACAGCAAGAACCCCTGCATAGTGTCCGAGTTGCTGCAAGAGCCCCTGCCTGGAGCAGGAGGGACCATTCCTCGGAAAAAAATGCTGGGCAAAGACCAGACCCCACGCTCTGGAAGACCATAGTTACCACGCAGGAAAGCACCTGTGCCCCATGACCCAGATGTTCAAGATAAGAAAATCAAACCCTGCATGCTGGTAGCTGTGATGTAAGAAAGACGAGGTTGCAGTGCCCAGGGGCTAGTGATGTCCACTGTGCCCAGGGCCCAGCGCCAACCCCCGCCCACAAGAGCCACCCGGATAGGGGGACACAAGGACGCGAAGAAAGGAGGGGGCGCTGGGAGAAGAGGGGAAACAGGGGGACCAAAGGGAGTCAGGGGAGGCAGAAGAGGGCCTCCAGGGGACCCCACTCACCCGCGCGGGCACCAGTAGGTGACTAGGACGCCCGCGGGGGGCGACCAGGGACTGCGATCCCTCGGCGCTCATCGCCGCCCACGCGGCTAGGCGCGCGCTTCAGGCTCCGGAGCTCCCAAGTCCAGCGCCTGCACGGCGCCCGCGCCCCTCTCTGGATGGGCTGGGGCGGACGGAGCCAGCAGCCACTGCGCTAGCAATCAGGGCAGGCACGGAACCCCGCCCACCTTCCAGCAGCCGGCCCCTACTACCCTGCTCACCGCCCACCAAGCTCCGCCCATTACCATCAAGCCCCGCCTTATACCCGGTAGCCCGGCCCATCAGCTCTGCCCTTCCACCTCCAGCCAGTGCAGGCAGGATCGGATTGTGAGAGCTGCAAGTGGGGATCTCACCTCCTTACAGGGACCATCACTTCCCCACAGGGGCCGGTAAAGTGCAGAGCTGAGGCATGGTCAGAAGTGTGCTTCCCTTAGGCTGGAAGGCTAAGAGGGCACCTGGACCATTGGAGACTAGGACGCTGTTCCCAGTGGATTATGGTGATACCATCAGTGGAACTTACAGACGCTTGGTGACCATCTCCACTGGCAAAGCTTCTCAGATTCTGAGTGTGGTAACACTTTGCCCCGACAACAGCTTTGGGTCCTCTTGATATTTGCGGATCTCCACACCATAACCTAGCCCAGCAACCCTCAGGACCCACTTTCTGGAAAAAGAAAGCATACTAAAGTACCAAGTCCTTCAACTTCAGTGGTCTCCATTCCTGTGTGCTCCTCTCTTGGTATCTACTTAGGCCCCAGTCGCCAGTCACTGTGAGGGCTCCTTCTGATGTACAGGGCTGGGGCTCTGATTCCATCTTGTCTCCCACACTTTCCAAAAGGGCTCCAGCTTCGTCACCAGTTTCATTTAAGAATTTCTCATACCAGGTTTGTTTCAAAAGAAATAAAAAAGCAATATTGAGTTTTATAGATCCACACTATCCTAGTATAAATGTAAATGGAAACTTGTTGGGAACCATTCAGCCTAGTACTAGACCAATATATGAGTGCTTGTCCAATGGGTCTCCAGGTGAGGCAAAAGCCTATAGGGACAGTCTCACTTGGCAAGGACCAGTGGACTTCTGGACAGCACAGGATACTGCTGGGACGGCACGGCCTGCATGCTCCCTTCTCTCTTGAAAAATTGATGATTCTCTTGGCAGTTTTAGTGTTATTTTGTCAATCATGCCTGGGACAGATATGATCATTCCTGGAAACCCCATTTTTTTTTCCTCAAATATCTTCCCCTAAAATTCTCTGGGAGCGGATGCTTCTCAGGTTTCTTGTCTGGGGACGTCAGCTGTCACTTCAGACCCCGAGAGGTGTTCCAATTCAGTGCTGACAGGATCGGAGGCAGATCACCCCTATTTCTGTAAATAAGTTTTGAACAATAGCATTCTAAAAAATATGTGTGCCTATGTTTATCACCCTTGGTTTTGTAAAGACAGGATGTACCTGGCTCGGTATTTGGCCAAGCTACCAAAATGATAAGTGTTGTTCTGAGTTTGAAGATGTTTTGATGTAAAAGTTGAGAAAAAAATATTTGGCATAATTGTTTTTGCTGGAGGTTAATGTTGGAGGATGGGAAAAACTTGTTTTTTAGTATGGAAAACATGCTTGTTTTTGAAGTACAAATAAAGATGGCTGGAGCTATTCAGGGCACACCACTTGTGTGAAACTCAGTCTGGTGGTTGGACACTTCATTTCTTCTCAGCATTGCCCCTTCCTCGGCTCAGGACCTGAACCCAGGCTGCAGCTAGACCATGACAGAAACTAGTCTTTTAAGACTGTGATTGCCTGCACCCTCATCCAATGGCCTGCCAACACCTGAGTAAAAAGCAAACCTGTATTTTTCTCCTTTTTCAGGTCTTATGCCCCAGCCCTATGACTCACAGACAGGCATCCTGGGATGCTCATGTTGGCTTTACAGCTGCACTGCTGGGGAAACTGGGAAGTCTAATGTGTGGTTTTCATATGGCCCATGATGGACAAGCAAATATGCAACAATCCATTTATAATTGGCCACTGAGCAGCCCTGGGTTTGTGACCCAGAGGCACAGGGCAGGGGGTTTCTGATTTCCCAGTCTTATTTATCCTCAGCCTGCAGTTCTGCAGCTTTGGTTCATGGACAAAGAGGCTTACGACCATCCCTTTATGCTTGTCCAGTATAAAATACATGCCTTAGATGACTGGACAAGGAATATTAAGCAATTTTTGTTTGTAGAAAAACCTAGCGTAAGTATGAGATCATGTAACTCATTTGAAGTTGCATTTTGAAAAGCACATGAGTTCAGTCTCTGAGAAATCAGAGGTCTAAAGAGACTTTTACCTAAATTACAAAGGGAAGATTCATCCCATGATCTGAAGGAGACACAAGCATTTGGTTATTCATCATGTTAGAGTTGATAGATTGGATATTAATTCAAATATTTCAAGTAAATAAACATGGGTATCTTTTGATCAAATTCAAATTAATTATTAATTAATTTGATAAATACCATAATAAGACAGTTGGTTACATCTACATACCTTGTCTTTCTTGGTGCTCACTGGAGCATTTTCTGTGCTCATCCCATGATCCTTGATCCAGGATACTTGACACGCACTGGGCTGCCTTGGGAAGCTATACAGTTCAGGTTTTAACTGTAGTAGCTCAGATTTTGTGCATTCGGAACTAGGCTGCTCATAAGAGTTGTATTACTTCATTTCCTAAACGTTAGAGCTTCACTTCATAAAAGTATCAGTAAAACACTGACTTATCCAAAAACCTGAGAGGGGCTATTAGATGTGAATTTCCTGCAGTCTGACTCAGGAGTTTCCATGGTGCATGTAGAGTTCTTTCTGGAATGTGCTCCACAGTGAGTCAGTGTCTCCTTAACCATTAACTTAGTCCCAAATTAACAGAAACATTGTCATTGCAGCACACAGTCATCATGGTAAGGAAGTCATGGCAGTGGAATGTTAGGTGCAGCTGGTGCTTTGCATCTACAGTCAGGAAGCCGAGACATGAACACTGGTCTATTCCGAATTTCTCCTTTTTAGTCAGTCCAGGACTCCAGTACAAGAATTGGTGCCACTCACATTCAGGGTGTGTTTTCCCACTTCACTTAAGTCAGTCTAGAAACCCCCTTACTAACATGCCCAGATGTCAGAACACAGCCCAGGAATGGAGTCCTGTGAGAAGAATTCTGAGTGCTTGTGAAAACACTCCAAAAAAACAAGGCAAGTGTCTTGTGACCTCAGTTTCTTCAAAACAAGGAGTTGTTCTTGGAATGTATTTTCATGCTCCTCCCAAGTGTAGAGGATAAAAGTGAGTTTACTTCATATTACTCATTATTGCTTGCTGCTGTTATTTAATTCAATGTTTATGCCTCTATGGAAAAATATGATTTTGCCACATGTAGGTTGTCCCTGTGACTGTATACAGCTTGAACTCATGAGAACTTTACTCATGTGACCTTTCTTAACCTTCAGAGTATAAATTTTCTGGGGCTCTGAATAAAGTTGGCTATTGCATGGGACTAGTATACTTCATTTTTTGGCTTCATTTCCCCAGGTCCTACTGTCTCTAGTGCATTAACAACCAAAATTTTGTCTCTTAGGTGATTCTACACCCCTCCAATTTGGCAGTCAGTGTTAACTATGAGATATGATCACCCCATTGCTGGGAAGCAGAAGGGAGGAGGAGGTTAGGGGGCTACTGTCTACATCAGAGGGACACAACCAATGTCTGACAGACCAACCATTAGGCCTGCCTACTAAAGATTAAGAGTGCTTTGTGTGGTGCCTCCCAGTGACATAGGCCTTGGGAAATATTCAAAATGTCTCTTTGACACTTAGGCCTAGGAGATATTCAACACCCAAACTGGGGTCCCATCCCTGTGTAGGAAAGCTTATGCTTCACAATAAGAAATTTTTTTTTGCTAATATAGAAAAGATTAACTCAAATTATACAGATTTTCCTAATGAAGGCCATTCTCTTTGGCTTTGTCTTTAGGTCCAGTTCAGGGTCATGTATTACTGGGACAAGGATCGCCTTAGTCTTGATATTTTGAATTTGTTTAAACTCTCTTCCTTGCTTGATACACACACACACACACACACACACACACACACACACACACACACACATATTAGGAATATCACAGTACATGAGACTAGAAGGCATGATGCTAAATCTGTCCCAACTCTCATCATGTTAATTAAATCACTTGGTTGTTAGTGAATGCAGATTTATATACTATAAAATTAAGTAATATATATTATAAATACTAAGTAGTACATTTCTGACCATACACATGAATTAAGTTATCCACTTCTTGAAGTGCAATACCTCAAGAATGAGTAACTGTCTCACACAGTATTTGTGGCTCAGGAGCTCAGAGTTATTGGCTATGAAGGTCTTCTGAGGTCAAATTGGCCCTGGAATCATGTTCAATTCTCAATCCTTCTCCTCCACCTACCTCCAGGGAATGCATGTACAACCCAGCTGATTTCCCTCAGAACAAGCAATAAGATATAACCTCTAAATACTATGTGGCCTAGATTCAAAAAGTACTGTCATGTAGGGAGACTGTGGGGGCTATTCATGGGCACCCTTCAGTCCCTGTGTGAAGACACTGGACATGAGTACTAGCAGGAGTGAATCTCATAAGAGGGGCTGTGATGTCCCATGTGTGACAAGTGGGTAGTTGAGATGTCTGTTGATGATCCATGACTATGTCTATCATTGCTACGACAGCTGACAAAAGACAATTTTATAGTTTCTTGGTGTGTGTGTGTGTGTGTGTGTGTGTGTGTGTGTGTGTGTGTGTAGGGGGCTGTGCACTAGAGTTATATTGATCACTTGAAAAGTACTTTGGCTTTTTGCTCATGAATTTTATTATTATTTCCTTCCACTTTTTACTGGTTTAATTTCTTGAGTTCTTTATATTTATTGAAAAGCATATTCAGCACATTAATTTTATCCTTCCTATTTTTATAAGCTGTCCATTCATGCTATAGCTTCTATCAAGCTTAGTTTTGGTATTTTATAACTTTATTAAATACTAATTATGCTTATGACTATTTTAATTAATAATTATCATCTTAATATGTCAAATTTAAACTGACAAAACTTTCATTTACCATTTTTTATATTTAATTCTTTTCAGCTAAACAAGATTTATTGTTTTCTTTTTAACAAC